GTCTGAAAGACACATGCATTAATTTGGAATGCCTTGATCTGAAAATCTATAACTCCGCGATGCATTTCACAGAGCGGGTACAGTCTTAACCAAAATGCTCTTAATGTTTAATACATTAATTCGTCTTATTATAAAGTCCTTTTTTTGTAAAATTACTCGTTTTGTGTTCCAGAGTGAAACGATTATATATATACAATGCCTCCGGGATTAATTTTAATACCGCTTGTCATATTCAGCAGTAAATAGCCACTGTAATTCAATCAAAGATGGCCACTGAAGGTCAAAATTCGACAAACAATGAACGTGTTTCCGTCTCGTTCTGAACGCTTCTAGCAGACTATGCTTGTTCGTAGCCATATTGTAAAACCCAATTTCATACAGAGGTCGAGCTTTTGCGGTTTCGAGTTCTGTCTTTAAAAGGGCAACCTTAATTCAATTAGCTTTATTTAAATACTATAAAAAAACTTTGGTGCAAGACATGTCGTAACACGATCATAAGTTCAAATACTACAAATTTCAGCATACTTCGAACACGATTAGTCATGATTTCATGACTTATACTGACTGCAAAGCGTATAAGTTGAAAACACAAACCCTTAGAATATTATTGACAGTACTTAATTAACTTCAAGGCGACAATGTGTCACAACTTAATTAGTTGAATTTATTCACGGCTATTCAACTGTGCCAGATTTTGTCAATTTATCAAATGATTCCTTTTGCTCGCGGCATGTGGATTATCCTTTAACAGAGCACGTTCATTCCAAAGTCTAAACTTCTCAAAAATTCTCTCGTGCACGATGTGCAAAATCGTGCGGTCGAGCGCGCGGCGTCCTTAATCAACTTGTTTGTTTGTTCACTACACATTCCACGCATAATCCGCCGGTCATAGGACTTTGCCGCAATCCTGCCAAAACGCAGCATGATACTGTATTCTGAGCACGGAGTTCTGGTTAATAATACCACGAGATATTTGCTGTGTTGGTGTAATGTACTCAGGTGAATAAGATGCTTGTGATGTTACTCTGAGTGTATATCCACACCGGGCAGGCTTGAAAAATATGCCTGGCCACGGTGGGAATCGAACCTACGACCTTTGGAATACTAGCCCAATGCTCTGCCAACCGAGCTACGCGGTCAGGTCGGTTCGAAATATCACATGCTCGAACCGACCTGACCGCGTAGCTCGGTTGGCAGAGCATTGGGCTAGTATTCCAAAGGTCGTAGGTTCGATTCTCACCGTGCGCAGGAATATTTTTCAAGCCTGCCCGGTGTGGATATACACCCAGAGTAACATCACAAGCATAATACCACGAGAATTGACATTTAAGAACCAGTATTAAATAGGCCGCTTGAATATGTTCTGGACAGATTTGAACGTTCGAAAAACGTCAAGAATCGATTAGAATCCTCCTGAATTTGTTCTGATTAAAGATAAATGTTCGCTGAAGCAATTAGAATCCTCCTGAACTTGTTCTAATTAGAGATAAATTTTTCGCATAAGCCATTATAATGCTACTGAATCTATTCTAATTGGAGGTAAATGTTCGCTGAAACAATTAGAATGCTGTTGAATTTGTTTTGTTTTGTTTGATAAACTTTCGCTGAAGCAATTGAAAATTTAAAATCATGCCTCTGCATGAGATACGCTGAGCAATTGAAATGCCGGCGGTGAAATTGTTCCGGATTGGAAGGGAATGCTATCGAAATCAATTAAAAAGTTCCCGAATTCGTTCTAATTAGATAGATGAATACATTCGGCTCAAATTCGAAAGATATTCTATGCATGACAAATTCAATTTCCTGTTTTATTTGTTTACGACGACAGCGATAAAATTGCTAAATAGCAATTCTATCTAAACAATGTGGCACCGAATGGAGACTTCCTTTTCAACTATTATTGCCGATGACCATGGTATGCATAGCCGGTAGACTTTGGGTGTCCACAACTACAAGGTTATATTTATAGAGTATTTTGCAAATGAGAAATAAAAGAATATATTGTCTAGTGGAAATATAAGAGAATATATTGTCTGTGGAACTTACGAAAAGACATTGTTTTAGAACAACATGGAACACGCTCTTACAAAGACCGCGTGACTATATTAAAAGAAAATTCCCAAAACCTGTTGACTTAACATAAAAAAGTATTTTCATTTCTCCAAGAATGATCATGTAAAAAAAGTAGAGAGTTTAAAAAGGAAGCGACGTTTTTATTATCACGGATGTTTATATTGCAGCCAAAGACAAATCCGTGGGGACATTGTCATTGGTAGCCAAGGCCCAAGAATTGCTTCGATGTCTTAACAAATTTTGATCAATTATAACTGGTATAATTCTAATTTTTAATATAGTCTTTCTGTAAATCTAATATGCGTTGTATTCTATGCGGTACCAGCATTGGTATAGCTCTGTTTGAATAAAGTTTCGTTTGTTAAAGGTGACGACAGTCGTCCTTGATTGAAATCACGAATGTGAACCTCAGACTGCTCAGTGTGCATTTGATTTGCCGGATCAAATTGAAGAACTGCCTCGTTCTTTAAGAACTCCTACTTATTTTTGCTCATGAATGATCTAGTTCATGAATTAAAAGTGTCTTTAGTAAATAAAATAGGGTTTTTCAAAGAACGAGGCAGTTTTTAGAGAACTAATTTATGAGGGTCGTATACTTCAATTGATCCGATTTGCTAAAATCATCTTTGGTCTAAAAGGGAAAGGGGCTGTCGTCGTCTGTTAGGGGTATATTGTAGCTACGCGTTTGACATCCAATATAAACTCTCTATATTTGAAACCACAGTTTGTAGTGGAACACGGCACGTCCTCACTCCTCAGCCTGGCAAATATCGTACCGTTTGACGTCAATGCTGTCAATGTAGGACTTTCTATATCAATGAAATACTGCACGTCGACCTTCGAGGCAAACATTGATATCGTACGTGTGACGTCAATGCGGTCAATATACCGGCTCATGAAACACTGCACGTCCTCCGAGATATACTCTGAGTTGTCACGAAAATATTAATGGCAATAAAAAAGTATGATTCCTTCATTTGAAAATTGAAAGATTGTCGAGATTGTTTAGGGAGCATTCATTTTTTAGCTGGGGGGGTGGGCCGGAGGAATTTGGGGGTGGGTCAGCCAATTTTGACATGCTTCAAAGGGGTGGGTCTTTTATAGTTTTGGTATAAATGGAGGGGGGTCATAAAAATAATCAGTGAAAAAATCACCAATATGATTTTATTGAATTTGGAAATATTTGGATCAAGAATGGTAAAAAGGTCCAGAATCTATCAACTATCTCGTCATCTATAACAATGAAGCAAAATTCATTCGACGCTCTGTTCACACAGTCCATAGGAAAACATTTCCATGACGTTCATCAATTGACTTCGTTTTTATCCGTTTTTGTGTGAAAACATGAATGAAAGAAAACGCAGGACCGTAGCATGATTTCAAAATCATGCATGATTTCAAGGTCTGCATGACTTAAAAATCATGCAGACGTTGATCAATTTTAAGCTTTATTAATTTTAAGCGGCTACATTATCCATGACAAACTGCAAAGAATGAAGATAGTACCCACAGTTTCCTGCAACTTATCCTAGTTATCCAATATATAGTAAATTAAATACGCCTTCGCCCATTTAGTACTACCAAATTGTCAATTTCGACATACTAAAACACTGTTTTCTGACCATCAGAATTCTGTCAAATCTTCCACCAAAGGCCAGGAAATGGCATTTCAGAGACTCTAGATTTGAAAATTTCCTCGGGCCTTCGGCCCTCGCTTTCAGCCCCCCAATCAAAAAGAGCTTCCTACGGCCCTGAAACGCTATGGAAACGACACCGTGTGGATTAATAGTTAGGATGAGGGGTCAAAAAATTTTCAGTAAAAAAAATAGGGGGTCATAATTTTTTATCAACTTTTGTCTTGGGGGTTCCAAGTTTTCGCATGGAATTAGACATCAGTTCCTCCGGCCCACCCCCCCAGCTAAAAAATGAATTCTCCCTTACAAAGTCATTTTACTGACCAATACTCAATAGACAAAAATTGGCATGTGTGATCTAAAAATGTGAATTGGGTATAAAATAACGTTAATTAATCAAATTTATCTATTTTCCCAAACTATCCTAATTTTTGAGATATTTCAAATCAAAACATTCCGCCATCTTGTTTTATAATTATAATTAATTAAATAACATCACGACCAGCGTAGACGTTTTAAAACTAAAATATATCAGGTGGAAAGCTTATACATAGCTTGGGCTTTAATTTAGAATATACACTATAGTAAAGTATAGGATTTAGCATTGAAATGACACGATAATTACTCAAGATACAAAATAATTTTAACCTTGGTTGTGACGTCACGCATATATCTGACGATGCATTTATCCAACATGGCGGAATGCACTATCAATTTTGATATATTTTATAACAAGAACGATAAAGAAAATCCGTAATAAGGTTTTGAAATATAGTGAAACTCTTTTCCAAATATAGGAAAAACTTTTTTTTTCTATTTTCCCCTTAAATTGGATAAAACAATCTACAATCCTAATTGCTCTATATATGGTAAATGTCTGCCCTGAATTGATAGGGATACAACCATTGCCTTATAAGTAAACGGGAAGGCTGACTCAGGGAAGGGGATTGAAGCCAGTGCATTTTAGTTTTTCTGAGTTATGAGCAGAAATACTCAACAGTGAACGTTGTGCTGTGTATGAAACTGAAGCTATTGAAAAACGCTATTTGGTGTAGAAATTTCAAGACTTTAGCTAAAAGGGAAATATTTAAAAACTACAAAAATAATTGTCGATATTTTGCCATTTTTTGGCCGAATGGCAGTTGTTTTTGTATTTTTAAAACATTTTTCTTTTCGCTGAAGTCTTGAGATTTCCACACCGAATAGCAATTCAGTCAATAGCTTCAGTTTGATATACAGCCCAACGTTTCGGATCAAGTATTTCTGCTCGTAACTCAGAAAAACTATTTTGGCTTCAGCAAATCATAGGCCTTCATCATAGCAGCTCGAAACGTCGAAAGTTCTCCAGGTATTTCTCAGATAGTTCCAGAGCATTTTTTAACTATATAACTACTGGGGCATTTACTCCAGTAGGCCCTTTGCTTGCCCCAGTAGTGAAGCATGTTTTCATATGAGCTGGGCCCTTTTGATCATTAGTAAAAAGTTAACCTTGTTGAAAAAGCTACATCTGCCGGCTTTCTCATATCCCCTCACATTCTCTACATTAATTCCCTCTTATAAAAGTCAGCACAGGCAGGGTCGGCGCTAAAAGTGGGTTGTCGGTGTGGAACACCCCCAATCGTCAGGTAGTCGGCAAAATATCTAATCTCAGTTGGATGAAAAGAAATACTAGTTAGCGTTTGAAATTAGTAGGCAATATTTCACTTACACCCACCCACCCCTATTCTGAATAGCGTTGCCCCTGACTAGCACAGAGTGATTTTTAAGTGTACCCGTATAAACTGTGTGGAGAAAAGGCCCTCATCGAGACTAAGCCCCAGTAGCTGTAATTTCTTAAAAAAATGCCCTGGATAGATCTACTATCTATCAATCCGTAGTTAGTTTCATATTATGTGCACCACCTATAGACCTTCAAAATATCTGCCTTGCTCTGTAGTGAATTTCTGCCAAACTCGGTATTTGGACGCGGCAGAAAGGTAGACGAATTAGAATCTCATAATTTACAACCGTGTGAATATGATTAGAATTCTGAAACATTGATGAGACTGACCCCGATGGCGCCATATTATTTACAATATATTGATCATATTGATTGAAATACGAAACCGTCGGGTGTCGTTAATTGTCGAAAACATCTCGGTCTAAACTTCAAATGATCCGACCTATTTGGAAATATTGATAAGAGCGGGATTTTCTTTTCTTTATCAAAATTGGACCTTCAGACACAGTCGAGCGACATGGCATGTATCATATCATATAAGCGGTACGTTTTAATGGCAGGCAACATATGCCAACTAATATTCTTTGCCTTTATTGGCAGCGGTAAAAATTATGACCGGCATAATATTTTGCCCTCCTCGAAACCGACGATCGATTTTCACAAAGAAGATTTTTAATTTGACAACAAAAATTTTAACATCAACAAAAGACACGCCTCATGTTGCTTGGCAACAGAATGTTTCTTACACATTCAAAAATTTAAAGTTTGTTAGTTCACTGCAACCAGATATATCAATCATGTTTCGCTCGCTACTCTGGTTTAAATAAATGATTACAAAGCCCAGTCGAATTGTAATCAAGACCCAACGTTGGGTCTTGATTACAATTACGAAACGTTGGGTCTTGATTACAATTCGACTGGGCTTTGTAATCATTTATTTAAACCAGAGTAGCGAGCGAAACATGACATTCAAAAATATTACACTGGTTTCACCAATCTTACAATGCATTTTATAAATCATCTATATATATGATAAATTGTTCATTTAGCTATCAAAATCTACATATACATTATGGCCATTAGAGACATAACATTCAAATTTAATTATAGTTATAAATCTTATCCTTAATTGATTTGGATCTATATAATATTGCATTTAGTATTTGTATATATCATTTGAGTTTAGAAAGAAAGAAAGCTAAATAAATAAATAAATAAATAAATAATTTCTTAGCCTTCAAAAGTAAAGGGTACAGGGCCCACTAGCCTACAGATTTTATAATTGGATTCCTTGATCGCCTATATTTGCATATACTGCATGCTACAACGAAACATTCGAACAATCTTTAGAACATTATATCTCAAAAACAAGTTCTTTCACTTGAAAGTACAAAGCGGTTTGAATTTTTCAACTCAATGTCAATGAGCTACTGCATACGCCTATAATTATCTTACACTCGTACACCTACGTGTACCGCATAAATCTGCAATTTGAACGCATCCAGAAGCCCATATACAGAATTCAGCACATAACAGCATGTTTTAAAATTTTATGTCTAAAAAAAAACACATTCCTAGCCTTAGAAGTAAATGGCGTTTCAGCTTAATTGCCTCTGCAGTTTTACGTCATTCGCAGGGGCAAACACATAATTAAAGATAAGTGTTAGAACTTCCATGTTTCTAGGTGCCCTCAAATGTACATTTTTGTAGAAGTAGGTGCAGTTTTAATTTTAAATAATTCATAGGCGTATTTAAGAACAGTGAGACAAAATCAAACGAAACGGCTTTTCAGTGTACTTCTAAGGCAAATAATTTGTTATTTCAAAGAACATACTGGGCTCTATTTAAACATAATATGCTGGGCTCTTACTTTCTAATATTACAACAACATATATACACTAGTCGTACGAAATTATAAAGACTACCTATATAAACACGTTTATTTAAAACCTCCCTGTATGTGCGTGCGTGCATGTTTGTCGTATGTGTTGTCTGTTAACACCATAAATCAACAAATATCAACTTATTAATACGAAAATTTGCAGGGCTAATGGCAATAGGCTAAGCCTAAGGACAAACCGGTGAAATTTTGGTTCGATTTGGGCGACAACTAAATGAGAAATTGGCACTAAGTTGTTGTATCTCATGGGCAGGGCAGAGTAAACTGAGTGGCCCATTCAGAATAATTTAGCCCATTCAGTACAATTTATGCATGCTATTCGACTCAATTCGCTAGCTTTTTTTCTACAGTTCCAATCATAGATATCTTGTGCAGTAAGGGTATTCTTAATTGTATTGCATGCTCTACCGTTTCACCGCCAGGCATCGTGTTTGGTTTTACGTCATCGGTTGTTACCCTATAATTATTTTAAAGTACCAGTACTTACGTACTTTATGAAGCTATGAAATCAAAGAAGTGCTTTGTTTTCATATTACATGCAAATATTGCTTTACCAAACATGTTCCTCTCTCTCTCTTTCTCTGCGCACGTTTTAAGTAATTAAATGAATATATACTCAGGGCCGCGGTAATTCCCAGCTATAAGCGTCACTTTTCATGCCGAAAGTTTGTCACAAAACGAATACGAAGACAACAATCAGTTTCGTGTGTGATTTAATGTGTATGTGTTGAGGTAATTTGTACTTGTTTAAAATTTAGGAAGATTTAAAATTTTCCGCGCGCATACGTCGTAAAAATGCGGCTCTATAATTAAGCAAATTAGATTTGACCAGCTTTGCCTCTCTAGTATAGCGGTGTTTATCGGAGTGGATGTAAATAGGCTAAAAACTCTAGTAAATAAAATGTCTTTATGCTTTTATTCTAAAAAACATCTGGAAAAAATAATAGTGCATAATTGTTCTAATTCAGTTCTTCTTCCCAATTCCTGCTTTTTACGATTGTGCTGTCGTGTGAGACCAGCTCGAGCTATAAATATCTTGGTAAAAAGAAGTAAACACATTCTTGTCATGACACGCTGGGCCCATTGACGTCATTACACTAAACCTGTACGGTATCTCACACTGAGCCGTTCAAAAGGGCACGCACCGGGAGATACTTTGCTGGCGATTATAATAAGATTGTTACTTAGTTACATATTTAGACAATTTAACCCGTGGTTGTTTGTGCAGCGAAAAACCAGATATTTCTGGAGAATAGTCTTGGTAGTTGGATGTTTATTGGGGGCTGAGGTTTCACACGGGATTGTTTGAATTTGGAGAACAAATTAAGCTTCCATTCCATTTTTAACATTTCTCAAAATTTGATGTGAAAAAAAAGATGATTAATGCATGCGACTTTCACCAAGGCTTTCACCTCTGTGACCGAAGTTTCAAATTCTCCTTTCAAGATTTTCCGCAGCAGCGGGGGGAATGTTTCCAGCCGACTTTGTCAAAACATCGCTTGCTTTCTCCGGCTGTCGGGAACATACAGTGATACAGGACCAATGAAACTTGACAATTTTTAACTGTTGTAGCTATGCAGTAAGAAATGAATATTTAAATTATTACAGTGTTGTCCATAATACGATTGTTACTTAGAAACCTACTTAGGCAATTGTACACATGAAGAAAAAAACAGAGATTTCTGGATATAGTTTTTGGACCCTTTTTGCAGTTGCAAGGTTGCATTCCATCGTATAAAGTCTACAAATTCCACACCCCGGCGATACACCGACATTTGCCATTGATCACGCTATTATTTCAAATTGAGGTTTTAATTTTAGCAACAATAAAGACCTATGTAAAAATAGACAATCTTGTGTTCTTTTACAACTGTATAAACTACATATTTTCGAAGATATGCTTTAAATTACATCAGGACAATAGTGAACTTTGGCCCCAGTTAAACAAGGATGACAGTTGATGAGATTGGTGGTCACGAATTGTTAGGGGAACATTTCAAGCTGTGGATTAAGAAAACAATAGAGGTCATTGTTGAAACACTGTTTCAACTATACATTATACAAGATAGTTTTGGGAAAGCATTAAGAACACCTATTAAACAAAGATCGCGTGACTGCAAACTCTTGTGACTCTCAAATCCTTGTTTGATCCGCATCCTTTTGGCTAAAACTAAGGTTCTTTTTGAGTGTCGAACAGTGGACAGCACATGGAATATTAATGCAGTCTGGGAGCGAGAGGCACTTATTACAAGAGCTGAGCTTTCGCTTCTTAAAAGATTGTTTCAATTTGGGGGATCAGTAATAACTCCTTCACATTTTTAACATTTCTCAAAGTTTGATTTAAAAAAAAATCATTTTCATTCCGATACATTCAAAAAATTCAAAGTAAATTTTAATCGGTTGAATTTAAAAATATATTTCTGAAATTAGTGATGTTTAACATCATCGAGCTGTTATATTAAAGCTCAGAATTTCAGCTCATAGATTACCTGTTGCATAAATAGCAATGTTCCATACGATAAAAGAATTTGTCAATATTGCGGGGTCACTGACACTGCGATTTCAATGAGGTCGGAAACGAACGGTACTATTTAATACGGTGCAACAAGGTTTTATACTGATCTCAGAGCAGATTTCATCTATATAAGCTTAACCAAATAAATCACTCTTTCGTTCTTTTAATAATCGTGACTTGTTTATGTATGGTATTGCAATGAAAGACAAATCCGTGGAAACATTAGTCGCGTTGCTTCGATGCCCTAACAAAATTTGATCAATCATAACTGGTATAATCTAGTCTCTCTTAAAGACAAGACATCTTGAGAATACAATATATGACTCAAAACAAGCAGGTTGAGACTGTAAATTTTCGACTTTATTTCAAACAGAGTAATATCTTCAGACAGAAGATGACTGAAGTTGAAGAAGAAGATGACTGAAGATGACTTTGAAATAAAGAAAGATGATGACTGAAGACAGAATCAACTGAAGATGACTGAAGACTTTGATGACTGAAGAGTCAAGTCGACTGAAGAGTGACTTTGAAATAAAGTCGAAAATTTACAGTCTCAACCTGCGTCTAGTTTTGAATCATATATTGTACTCTCAAGATGTCTTGTCCAGTCCTAGCCCTTCTGAATAAAGTTCGTTGTAAATAATTCAATCTGTTTCCAACTGTGAATCTGTGATGACAATTGTCAGTGTATCTAAGTGCCAATTAGTGGCAGCGTGCTTTCGAAAGGGCTTTTGATTTGGAAGATATAACGCGCGAGGAATTTAAAGGACCGTTTTTTTAGAGTAAGAGGATAAGGAAATTCAATTCAGACAGCGCCGTAACGAAGATTTGTAGGGATCAAATTACATCCTGATTTTTTTACCCAAAAACAGTGTTTGAAATTTAGTGTGTTATTTTTTATTAGTACATTGAAGTAGGTGTTTCGTCCGAAAGACTATATTAGGATATTGGGGCTAAATCTACTAGGAGGATTTGGGATAATGCTCCCCAAGAGAATTTTGACCATATGGACCCACAGAATGCCCGGTAATGCAACTAAAATTTTGCATCCTTAGCTTACGTTGACTTTTAACTTCCACGTTTGTCAGTCAATGCTCTTATAATTCACCTGAAAATAGTTTAGAACTAATAGAGCTATCCAGGATCTGATGAAGTTAGTTTAGTTTAGGTTTCCTCCTGTAGGAAAACTGGATCAATAAATCAATAAGAGATGATACTTACTGGATCTCTGGGAGAACAGTTTATAACTGATAAAGTTAATGCTATTCAGTATAAATAAAGTTAGTTTAGGTTTCCTCCTGTAGTAACACTGGATCAATAAGACGGATGACTCTTACTGGAACTCTAGGAAGGACAGTTTAGAACTGATAGAGCTATCCAGTATAAATAAAGTTAGTTTAGTTTAGTCACCTCTAACCTTGCCTGAAATACTGAAATATACAAACGGAACAAATACTGAACAAATACCAGGGAGTTACCCCCCCCCCCCCGCATCCCTTCGCTACGGCCGTCCTTATAATCTTCTAGCGAAATTACATTACCCCTGACGAAGGCATTCTTTTTATAACTTCCAAATATATAAAAAAAACCTTATAGAGAAGTTCTTCCAATCTGACTCTGTGAAACACTGCAGGTTTTCTGCCCATGCAGTGGGAGTAACTATTTAGTAATTTTTTTACTGTTGATTATAATAAGATTGTTACTTAGTGACCTATTTAGACAATCTAATTAACCCGAGGTTGTTTGTGCAACGAAAAACCAGATATTTCTGGAAGAGCTTTCTGCGACTCAGCACGAGACCCGCATAGAGGCATTGAAGAGCGGTATTTCAAAAATATTTCAAAAAATATATTTCCAACCGTGATCAGTATACTTTTCCACTGACCAAGGCTTCGGATTACTGTTTTTTAGCCATAGTGCATGGGTTTAAATATACCAAGATTCACCACAGCTTTCTTTCCCGGGACCGTTGTTGGGAATATAGGCCGAAACAAAAACAGTTTTGAACTGATGTAGCTATATGCAGTATAAATAAACATTTAAATTATTACTGTTGACTATAATAAGATTGTTACCTATAGTTACATATTTAGATAATCTATTCTTACTCCCACGAAAAACAGAGATTTCTGGAAGATAGTGGAGAGAGAGCTTTCGCTTTTTACAAGAATGTTGCAATTTGGAGCACAACATTGCACTTTGGACATTTCTCAAAATTTGATGCGATTCAATGTAAATAGCAAAAACCCTGGCTTGCGAGGTTGTGTAAATATAGTTCAATTGATCTATTTCCACTAAACTGTCTTAATTGACAGATGTGTTGTGAGTGTGCCTTTGGTGTAGCTATCCAGTATCAATAAACATATAAATTATTATAGTTACATATTTAGACAATCTATTCTTACCCCCACGAAAAACAGAGATTTCTGGAAGATAGTCTTGGCGATTGCAAGAACTTGGGGTTGGGATAAAACGCGGATACGGACGGACGGACTTACAAAAGTATCGATACTTTCGATACTCGCAAAAAGTATCGGTAATTCGATACCATGTTTTAATTGTGTTATTTCCAATTTCTCTGTGCACCCTAAAAGCTTGCACGGAATGGGGAGGTCGTAGCAACCGGGTGTGGGAACTACATGTTAACATTAATCGTCTTGTTTTAAAAGTTCTTTTAATATATAGACAAAATTGAGTATCGGTATCGATTTTGGCATCGGTATCGACCAAAATTCATGGTAACGGACTGGTATCGTATCGAAACCAAAAAAAGTTGGTATGGCTATCACTATGGCGAATGCTTCTGAAAGCGCGGTGTATAATCGCGTGCAATTAATGGATCCGGAGAATTGAGGAGAAATATTTTAACGAGAGGTGCAGTTACGAAATTTTTAACGGTTTGATTCCAGAGCAGATCGACTCACAAGTTCGGAGAAAGGACTTTAAGTTACATTAAGTTGTTTTTATTTAAGTTAAATTAAGTTGTTCCAATCATTATATAAAAACCAAGGGTGGGTTGACTACAAATTTTTTGTAGTTCGCTATAACTACAGCTACTTCAAAAATATGTAGTCAGCTACAACTACTGCTACTTTTGAACAAAAGTAGTTCGCTACTGACTACAGCTACTGCTTAAAAAATGTAGCGAACTATTTCGCTACTCAATATTTTTTAATTTTACTGTATATGGAATATCTACTATAGCTCAGGCTGTAATGTAACCTATAACAAAATGAAAATAACGAGGTGAAAACGTTACTTCTTAAAACGTACTCAAGAAAACGTTCACTTTGTTACATGCTCACTTCTCAAATATAGTACTCAAGTACAGTAACGAAGTAAATTTACTTCGTTACTTGACACTATTGCGATGGGGCATCCGTATATGGAACTCACTTATACCACAAGAAATTTTTGGAAAGCAAATCTCTCTTTTGTTTTAAAAATGAAAATTGCTACTCATATCTTTAATGCATCAATAAAATAACGTACTGTTGTGAATAGACCAATATAGACAATGTAGCTTATTGTATGCCTAGAATGAAACAAAGACATAGTCGAGCATTTGAACAGAGTCTACCACGCTGGATATTGAATCCACCTTTTCCGGTTGACCTACAGGTAAGTAGCACGTGCTCTAGCCTGTGAGGCAAACGGTCATCCCAACTACACGTGCGCTGGAAACGCTTTTAACTGCTGTTATCTCGCAAAGATTTTAACGACAGTCGAACACATTATATTACCAGGCGGAAATCTTACTAGTTTAAAAATGAGTAAAAGGGACCAGAATATAATTTTTATACCATACATATTTTATGAAATGATTCTATTTAGCTGACGTTGCGTTGTATACAGTACAACATTTTCGGTCGCTTTGAAGTGAAATTTACATGATTTACTATATATATTTACAATAGATATATTTATAACATTTAAAATTTGAAAAAGAACGGAAAACAACTTATCATGCAGTACCTGCTGTTTATTTAAAACCATTCTTCTGTCAATATTATAGTACAGCAAACCATGTCGATTTCAATTCAAAGCTCTGAAGATTTTGTACTGTATACAATGAAACATTATAGCTAATACAATCTCATAAAATATGTATGGTATAGAAATCATTTAGCCTACTGTGTTCTTTTATTAATTTTTAAACTAACATATGGACACATCGTTAAACGCATTCAACAACGGAAGTAGCATTAATAACCCTGTATAGTCTATTACAGACCTTGCTTTCAGAAATGCAGACACGCCGCCGACTTAAAAAAAAATATAGCTTGCGAATACGAGTACCATTGGCACCGCATTGTGCACTATGTCTGGCTATGCGTGGCAACGTGCTTAAAGACTAAGTGACCAAATAAAAAATACCGGTTTCTCAGAACTTTTTTAAAAGTAAATGGGGCATGAGGTTTTCATTTTAATCAACAACGGAAGTAGCATTAATAAACCCAGTATTGATTTTGCTTTCAGAAATTTAAACACGCCACCGACTTAAAAAATATATAGCTTGCGAATACGGGTATCATAAAGTAGTGACCACATATAGCGCCATTGTCACATTGTTCACCATTGTCTGATTTTGCGTGACAACGTGCTTAATGGCTAATTGGCCAAATAAAAAAATATGCTGGTTTCACATAAACTTTTTTAAAAGTAAATGGGGCATGACGTTTTCATTTTTTAAGCACGTGTTTCAAGCAACATTTTGTGTGAGTACTAGGTTAAGTAGATGAAATACAAAACAACTCGAGGGTTAGGTAATAAAAATGTATTGTAATTTTCAAAGCATGACTCACTCAAATATTGAAGACTAAAGAGCAATGTCAACAGTCATATATCAATACAACTGTAAATCAATCAATCACAGTGACTATTTTGATCATTTTCCGATTTGTCAGGAGGCAAATGGTGTCTCCAAAGAAAGTACATGCCCAGCTGCCTCGTCCCTCGTCGCTTCAGTTGGGAATGGAGATCAGTGGAAAAACAATGGGAGCGCGGGGCTTAATGGGAATGCGATAGAGACTGTGGAAGAGTCAGCATGCGCAGACGGTAAGGGACTGGTCATAATTTAGCAGGAGGGGTGGGGAGGTGGAAACAGTGGGGGGGGGTCACATATTTTTTAGCCAGGAAAAAGGGGGGTTCATAAAATATTAGACAGTTCGCGAAGGCGGGGAGGGGGTCTGCTGTTTTAGTTCAATTAATTGTTTTATACATGCCTTCTCACATTTTGTTTGAGTTGCATTGAAAAAAATTGATTCTTTAATTTAAACTTAGAATGAAAAGTTTGAAAAAACTAAAGTTTTATATATGACTATGTATTGGTATAATATAAATTTTAGTATTTGATTTAAAGCGCAACTA